ACATTGAAGTATTATTTAGAACATAAAAAATTAATTAGATACATTTTTTGTAGAATTATTTTCAAAAATAGTGTTAAAAACTGAATAAAACAATGTAAATGTCTGACTATTAAAACTTTTATTTGTGTTTAAAACTTACTGCTTTTGTAACTACGCATTCTTGCTCATTCTGTGAATATTTCTAAATTTTTGATCTTCAAATTCTGATTTTCTGAGTACAAAAATTGCAGTATGATAACCACATAAGTAGCAGTTGCTGAAACCATCTGTAAAAAAAGTTAAATTTAAAAATTAACAAATCATCATAAATTTACTGCAAAAATGAGGCCTATTTCAATAACGAAGAAACCTGCAGCATTGATTTGTAAATCTTCATGAAACATTTGCAAACCATAGGCATATAACTGAAAGTAGAAAAAAATCAGAAAAAAAATGCAATCACTAAACTATAAACTACATTTTTTCTGTTACCATTAGAACCATTTCTGGTCAAAACTTTACAAACATGTTTTTTAAAATCATTTGCCTACAAATTTTAAATTATTAAGGCCTAAGACTAATTGTCACATACCTGAGTCATGCATTTATTGGCTCCAATAATAATTGAAAAAAGTTTAATCAATTCTAGTAAAAATTGAAAAAGAGCAAAAATATTGACAGTATCATTTAAAATCACCACGTGATAATAGTTTTGTATGACGTTGATAATAATAATGGAGAGATAATACCCCATCAGAAACAGAAATGGGACAGAAAAGGTTTTGTTAATTTTTCTTGATAACCAACACAATTCTTGATGTGTTTTAACGATATTATTACATTTAATTGTGTTTGTGGAGCTGGAAAGAAATTTTTGACTCAAGTGTTCAAAATACACTGGCAAAATGGAGAATATCAGTAGAAAACGAAACTCGGTCAAATTTTCAATAAATGAAATGTACACAAAATTAACAGTAATAAAGATTGTATCCCAAGAGTAGGAAATATCGTCTTTTTTTGCAACCCTGTAAACTCCGATAATGTCTACACCGAAATTTGTGACAATTATGAAAAGCAAAACTAGTTTCAGAATTTTTATTCTGTCACTTTCTTGAAGTCGTTCTTGGAGTTGAATTAATTGATTTAAAACATTTTTGGTAGTATTTTCGTGAATATGGTCGAAGATTATAATAGAATTTAGCACCATTATGTAGAAGTCAATGTATATATGATATCCCACTCGAATAATGAAAATTTTTTGTGGAATTTCATCCGTTACCAGTTTTGAAACATAAATATTAAAAACAATTACAACACCAAACCAGATAATTTTTAACAATTTCAAATTTTTGCAAATTTTGAATTTTCTTAAATTTGACTTTGAATCGTATTGCAACGAATGAACACCGAAATATTTCGTAAAAACTACCAGATTTTCTAACGAGGTTAACAGTCCTTGCCCTTCCATTTTCACAATAAAACTAACATTGTGTTACGGCTGAATTCCCAAGGTAATAGACGCAATTATTGTAATCGGGGAAGCTTTTTTCTTTCTAAAAGCATTGAATTTTCGGGCAAAAATACAAATTTTGGAAAAACATGGTTCAATTTTTTATTTTTTACCAATCTGTATCGATCTTTGTTTAATATTGACTTTTAAAGGGATAAAAATATTGTGAACATCATAGTTTCCAGGGAAAATGTTCCTTTAATTTATTAATTCCCCTGGACTCACATATCGAAGCACTAAACGTGTAATTTTGTCATAATTTTGTAATAATTCGGTGCATTTTATCAGTACAAAAAGGAAATTTCCTGAAACAAAATTTACAAGTCTTGCCATGTCCAGAAGCTTATTTTACTGTTTTTTGCTTCTAAACTTAAACTGTGCAAAATTGCAAAATTTAACCCAAGTAAAATTAGTGGCTAATTATGTGAGAAAGCAAGTGTATCCCCAACACGTAGCCTTATTTACCTGCTGGAAGAAAAGTGAGTGAACTGAAGTGAAGTTATAGAATATAGAATATAGAATATAGAATATAGAATATAGAATATAGAATATAGAATATAGAATATAGAATATAGAATATAGAATATAGAATATA